ATACATTCAATTAGTGGTGATTGGACAATCAGTTATAATAATACGAAGATTTCTCAATCACACCTATCAAAAATCTATTTCAAGTTGATTAAATACTAAAACGTAAAAAGCAACACTTTAAAATATTTAGAAGAAAATATATAGAGAAACATTTGAAACAAGGAATTAATATCTGAAAAATATCAGGAGGTCATGATACGGAAAATATTTTGTTTTCTTGGTGACTTTGTCATTTTTGGAAAACATCATTGTTATGAAAAAATTATTTGGAGGCGAACTTGAGTCTCCAGAACATGGACATTAGATGATAATGCCAAGAGATGTCAAGTATAATGGACATTGTTCTACCAAACAGAATAGTGGAGAGTTGGAGAGATAGAGGGTGGCAAGGGGTCCAGAATCCTGGAAGGAAGGAATGTAGAAAGAGGCCAGAGAAGTAAATGAAGATTACAGTCAGGAAACTCCCTTGTCTGGAAATCTACGGATGGCATAACTAGAGCAAACCTGTGATGTTTCATTTAAAGTTTTTCAAGGAAATAAGAGAACTTTAAGCCATTTTAAGGCATCTAACCCAATAGATAACTTCTAGACTTAGATTGGTCTGAAGGAATTAATATAAATTTTGAATCAGGGTCCTTCCCCACTTCCTACAAAAACTTAGTGCTCTCTATCAAATATATATTCTCTCTGTCTCTCCGTCTGTCTCTGTCTGTCTCTGTCTCTCTCTCTCTCATTGCATTGGCACCTGGGAATTCAAGAAAAAGTTCGGACCAGATCATTTCTAAGCCTCTTCAACTCAAAATGTTTTTATACAGTAATCTAGAGTGAGAAAAACAAAGTATCACTTAATGTACGATTTTCTATCTGCTCAAATCTGCTTCTTTCCATAATTCTGCTTTGTTCCTTCAGTTTGCATCAGCTGCTTCTTTAGACTTGTTTCCTCTCATCATGTAGTGTGTCACTCTTACCTTGACTCTCCATGGCCTCTCCAGTTCAGGGCCCTTAGTACGACAAGAAATAAATTAATGCTCTGGACCTATCTAAGGAGTTTATGTGAGGAGTAACGTGAGCAGATGTTTTGAACCTTGCTACATGAAGGGTGGCCCCTTCACTAAAGAGTAGCAGCCACAGCTGGAAGCTTGTTAGAAGTGCAGTCTCATCCCCTCCCTACAGAATCAGCATCTGGATTTTAACAAGATTGCACAGTTATTTTTCTGAACATTAAAGTTTAATGGGCAGTGAACTTAGAAATACCATTCTCGTAGGATCATAAAAAATGGATTTGGGGGAGCAAAATCCTGATGGCAAAATGTTACTATGCATTCTTTTAATTCTCTCTGATACTCAGAGTAAGAATTGAAATATACAGTACAAACTAAAAAACAGAAATTGTCTAGAGTTGAAAAATATTCCTTCACTCTTCTGAGAGTTCATCAGGTAAGGCAGAAATTGGAGCTAGAGGGACAGCCCGGTGGCGCACTGGATAGTCTGCCACTTGGGAGCACAGCGGCGCTCCCGCCGAGGGTTCGGATCCCATGTGGAGACCGGTT